TAGTCTAAACGTATTAGCAAATTTCCCCGAAATAATTGTAAAGTCTGATTTTACTGGTGCAAGTTGTTCAAGTGGGTATTTGAAACATGGACGCATAAAATGGGTACACCAATTTTTGTGGGAGAACTTTTTATTTGACAACAAAGAATGAGAAAACGTGTTTTTTGGGATTCAAACGAAAGTGTTGACAGGAACGAAAAAACTTTCCATCTAAGATTTTTAGGCATTTATGAGACAAAGTGAAACCACACGTAAAAAGATCCGACTAATAGCAAAAATGTTACAGCCGAAAAACGAGGCAAAATGCAGATTTTGGCACTTGTTGGTAATGCGACGATAATTTCACGCAACTACTTGCAATTCCTCAAATCCGTAGGATTCTTCCTTCTAAATAACAACATCAAAAATCGGAGCATATTGATCAAGCAGTTTTTTGCGAATTTCTAATTGTTTATCCCAAATCAACTGTTTTCCGGCCATCACTAGTTTATTGAGCAATATACAGGATTCGTTCAAAGAGCATTTAGTAGCAAAATACACGTGTTTTCCTTGCCGATATGAATCACAAACCATTCCAAAAGATAAATGGTATTTGTATGCGAAAAACAAAGGTTACTTTTTTTTTCTTCCAAACAAATTCAATCATTTCATATTTGTGAGTAATTGAACGATGAAAACATGCGTTACTATACATATTTTGAAACAAAGCGGATTAGTATATCATCTTTTGTTGCGAATTACTCTCAAATACGAAATGTTTGAATCTGTTTAGAAGGAAAAATGTAACCCATCCTTTTTTGCATAAAAATAAAATTTATTATAAACTAGTAGTGATGGCCGGAAAACAGGTGTTTTGGGATAAACAATCGTCGCACTACCAAGAGCCAAAACCAGCAGTTTGCCTCGGTTTTCGGCCATAACTTTTAGCACTTACATGTGGTCTTATTTTGTAGGTCTCAGAAATACCTAAAAATCTTGTATGAAGATTGTCTTCGTTCCTGCCAGCACTTTCGATTGAATCCCAAAAAACACGTTTTATCATTCCTTGTTGTCGAATGAAAAGTTTTCCCACAAAAATTGGTGTAACCATTTTATGCGTCCATGTTTTCAGTACCCCCTTGAATACATTGCAGCAATAAAGCCAGACTTTACAAATATTTCCCAAGCCAGGGGTATATTCATCTAATATGATTAGGTACTCCATCGTGTCCGAGAATCCAAAGCATTGCCACTTCTTTGGATCGGTCTAAACTTTGAGGAGCAGGAGTGCATTCCTCAAGTGGAAGTGGATTTGCCTTTGAAGAATCTACTGCCTTTACAGCTGCTTGACGCTGGGAGCATATAAATATGCTCCGTCTGTTTGCTGTTAACACTCCTCTAGATATGCCACCATTCGTAATCGTAATCTGACAGCTAGAAATCCAAATTTGGCACTAAATCAGAATGTTGGCTGTACAGCGCCAGCATCCGTAGTCAAATTTGATTTTGGGCGCCCGTCGCCATTAGATGGGAGGTGCCACATATTTCAATAGATTAGTGCGGCTACAGATGCTGGCGTTGTCGCCATAGCGTCCAGAGGCTTGTTTCTAAATGAGCTTCAACCGCTGAAATTAATTTCGACGGCGACTTGTGACGATATACTATATTCGCTATGATAATTTTGACATCTGATTATATCGATCTTCTATTTTCAAATTATCGTGGTGATGTCAAAATTACTATAACGAATCAAGTATATCGTTCCGAGGTGCCATCGAAATTAATTTCAACGGTCGAAAGTAGCGTGTGGGTGCAGTTTCTTAGGATACTACAGGGTTATCCAAATTAAGTGTCCACCATTAGTAACTTTGTTATTAGTGAAAATACAAAGTTGTTTGAATTAGCAAACTAGTAGCATTTTTAACGCTGGTAAAAATGAGAAATAAAAAAAAACAATTGAGAGTCGTTATTTTGATTTTTTTCAGTAAAATAACATTTTTTTAAATGGAAACCCCTGTATATTATATTTTTTTCTGTTAAAGCATCAAATTTTAAACAAAAAAGTTCATAATGACTTTTCCACTAAAGTCAAAAATTAAGTCAAAATAACGATAAATATTTTTAATTATTTGCAGTACCTATTATAATATTAAGACGGCTATGAAAACAACATGGCGTTCGCGATTTGACAGCATTAAGATAAGCGACAAATTGTTAAACTGGACATACTCGCAACTAGAAGGCTTTGGAAAACAATGATAAAATCAAATAATGTCAAACATTAGTGTAAATACTTGTTTATAAGCTTTATTGTGTCATTAATTTAAAGAAAAATGTTCTCCCATGAAGAAAAGTGTGATATGTTAGAATGCTATTTAGTGTGCAGAAAATCCTCCTTGAGAGCAAGAGAATACAGTGAATTATATCCCGCTCGCATTCAACCGTATGAACGATATTTTCTGAGACTTTATCGAAAATTTAGGGGCAACGAAAATGTTTTTGCTAAAACAAGGGCAAAAAAAGAATTCATAATAAGCGAGGCCACGGAAATTGCAGTTATTGGATATTTTGAAGCTTATCGTGAGAATTCAATAGCAGATATTCTCAAGGACTCTAATTTCAGTTATGGTACTGTTCAAAGGATTTTAAAAAAATACAAATTTATTCCGTATAAGTACCGACCAGTTCAAACGCTTTTGGCAGGGGATCCAGAGAGAAGACTTGTTTTTTGCCATTGGTATCTTAGCTTCTGTCGCCAAAATGTAAATAACTTTCGTTACCTTTTATGGACAGATGAATCAAATTTTTCAAATTCTGGAATGTTTAATAGAAAAAACCACCATTATTGGTCAAGAGAAAATCTTTTGTTAGTACATCCAAGAGGCCCACAAGTCCGTTTCAGTTTCAACGTTTGGTGCGGTATAATTGGTTCAAAAATTGTTGGCCCGTTCTTTTATGAGGGAACCCTAACTGGTGAAAGATATGTGGAATTTATGTCAGAAATTCTGACTAATTTCTTAGACGAATTGGATCTTATAAGTAGACATCATCTGCATTTTCAGCAAGATGGCGCACCTGCCCTCAACTCCAGAGGTACTTATCATTTTCTAAGTACTACTTTTAATGATCAGTGGATAGGAACAAATGGCCCAATACAGTGGCCTCCCAGATCACCAGATCTAAACCCACTTGATTACTTCTTGTGGGGTTACTTAAAGAACCAAATTTACAAGCGAAGGTACGATAACCTTGACGCGTTAAAGACTGCAGTTAGGGAAAAGATAACCCAGATAGATGGTAGGACCATACTTAAGACAGTTCGAGCAGTTGAAAAACGTGCCCAAAAATGTATTGAAGAACAAGGTGGTGTTTTCGAGCATCTTCTTTAAAAAAAATTGTTATTGTATTTTGTAAGATTATAAGTTGATGTTGAAAATAAAGTTTGTCGATACAATTTAGGAGAAAAGTTATTGTAAGCTTTTTTGTTTAAAATTTGATGCTTTAACAGAAAAAAATATAATATACAGGGGTTTCCATTTAAAAAAATGTTATTTTACTGAAAAAAATCAAAATAACGACTCTCAATTGTTTTTTTTTATTTCTCATTTTTACCAGCGTTAAAAATGCTACTAGTTTGCTAATTCAAACAACTTTGTATTTTCACTAATAACAAAGTTACTAATGGTGGACACTTAATTTGGATAACCCTGTATATGCGGTATACTTTTTGCACGAGGTACGACGGTGGACATGTGACAGACTGTATATATATATAGATAGCATTTAGCTACAACAACGGGCAAGTGTATAGGTCCAGAGCAATTAGATCATTGACTGCGAGGTTTGAGATGTATAAGCTATTCATGAACCTGAAAGGGTCCGACAGGTAGCTAGTATACATTACGAACCTTTTGACACTTGGAACTACAGTTTGACTAAAGGCCGTCTGTCACGATACAAAATTTTGTTCATAATTTGGTACTAAATTTCGTTACTGGATTTAGTTCCGAATTTGTTTACAAATTAAAATCATGTTTGACACGAAATCATGCGCAGTTGGTGGATAACAAACTATAACTGTCAATTTCTAGCTACCGTTTATCACGTCAAAATCATCCTAACCACACTTTCCTTTGCGGTTGTTACTTTATTCCTTTATCTTTAAACGAAGAGAAAATTGTAGAAAATTGAACGATCTCGCAATTCGCATATATTTTATGCGACTGCGGCAGCAGCTATGTGCACTGTAGCTGACCATCTCATAAAAAAACGAAGTAAACGAAACCGTAAAAGAATTTGGTGCCGAATATGGATGTGTTTGCTCCATATGCTGGATAAATAACTTCTAGGGCAGAAGCCTGTTTGGTTCTTAAGTCATTCTGATTTTATCCAATGCAGCTTATTTGGCTTTTCTGTTTTTATAGGCCTTGTTTTTACAGCATATAAACAGTCATCTTTTTTATATTCGTTTAGTAGTATGTCACACTGCTCTGTTGAACATGACATCTTTCAAGTTTTCAATCTGTAAGCAGAACAGCATACGAAGGGAGTTTCGCGAAACTGGTGAACACAACTGATAACATCACCTAGTGAAAGTGTTTGAGGTTATATCAGCCATTGTACTGCTCCAAATGCGCAGTAGTCGTCTGCTCACTTTTAGTATAATATTATTTATCAGGTAACCAAATAAGTTCGTGCGGTTGCTGTATATCGCACATTGCCATGGATGTTGTTGATCGATAGCAATTGTTTGTTACCTGCCACTTTAGTATGAATCCTCCTTCTCTCACACACATAAAAAGTTGCTGAAAATTGTTCCATACCTTGCTTTAATAACTGAAAATGGCGACGAATAAAACAGTAATTCGAAGTTGTTTACTATGAGTACAAACTTGGTACAAAAGCTGCAGCGGTGGCACGAAAAATATGTACCGCATTCGGAGATGATGCCGTTAGTGATTGAACAGCACAGAAGTGGTTTAAAGAATTTTCTTCGGGAGATCTCGGTTTAAGCGATGAACCGCGCTCAGGGAGACCAAAAATCATGAACAATGAGGATCTACGACAGGTTGTGGACGCAAATTCCAGGACAACGTGCCAAGAAGTTGCAGAAATGTTCAGAGTGAGACCTGAAACTATTCGTTTGCATCTTCATCAGCTAGCAAAGACGTGGAAGTTAAGCAAATGAGTCCCACATGAACTGATAAATGATAACGAATTAAGTGGTCTTACTATTTGTTCAGCAAACATTTCACGCCACGCTAATGAACCATTTCTTAATCGGTTATTAACCTGCGACGAGAAATGGATCTTGTATTCGAATTCTAAGCGTTCGTATCATTGGTTGTCGCCTACTGATTCGGTAACAGACAAGCCCAAGGCTTTCTTGCACCCAAACGAGGTTTTGTTGTGTGTTTGGTGGACAGCAACTGGAATTGTCCATTATGAGTTATTGGAAAGGGGTCAAACCATCACTGCTAACTTACTTGTATTGTGAGCAGCTTCAACGAGTACAAGCAGCACACATCCAGAAACAGCCTTCTTTGATCGATCAGAGGAAAGTGATATTCTTGCAGGATAACGCCAAGCCTCATACCGCAAAAGTGACCCGAGAAAAAATTTCTGAACTCGGGAAACGTTATCGCACCCACCATATTCTCCCGACATTTCGCACAGTAATAATCGATGTCAAACCATGTCCTACGATCTGTTAAGCTAGCCGTTGGAACTCTGTATGAAGATTGTACTTTTCGGTCAAAACGCGAACTATTTCAGTTATCACCTAACAGACAACCGACGCGTTGTAGTTTGCAAAACAAGCCCCAATTTCTCTTTATTTCTCAAAAAAACAGATCCTAATATTTCTGATTTGTCCTGTCCAGATCCTTAGCCTTGATTTCCATTATCAATTCTTGCTATAGTGTTAAACATATAGTTTTACCGAATATTAAAAGAATTGATACTGCACATGATTAGTCTAAGGGTCGATTTCACTAACATTAAAATCTAAGTCTTTGACCAATTAGGTAACAGCTTATTGAAATGCAATTTGACGGAAGCTTTCAAAGCTCTCCTAATATCAGTAATTGTATTTTTATTGAAATATTGAATAGAATCGTGAAAAAGTGGTTGTTTTATAAGAAAGGGTACATTTTAGATGTAATACCATGTCTTTGAGCTTTAGAATTAGGATATCGGCAGGTAAATGAATAAATGTTTGGAGACGAGCAATATCTATGTAATTTTTGGTAGTCTTTGTCATGTGTAGGCTATCTGCAAAAGGTTTATAGGAAAAAACACATTGGTAGGTAATGTTAAATCAGTGAAATCACATATAAATTGAAGCAAATAATATAAACATGGATGAACAATCAACAATAGTAAAAAGCATGAATTTCATTAAAAAATCCCACTATTTAAATTCTGACCGAACTATACGTAATTTCTTAATATTCAATAAGTTGGTGATGTTTCAATGACAAGCTGTCATCTCATACTTTGACAATATTTTGTTTTCAATCTGTCACAGCTATTGGTTGCTAAAATTTGTTGAATGGATCTTAAAGCTCTTTCGTTATATTTGCCCTATAGGTGGAAAATAACGGCTTGTTGATTTGACAACCCTGGTGATCCACCCTAAATGCTGCTTTTGTGTTACTCTTTCCATTTGACGTATCAAGGCGAACCAACATTATTACAACAAACACAATGTCTCAGATGTCTGCTTTGATATGAAAATTTGCTATAAAATCTCCTCTACTATAAGTCTATTGTTAGGGAGCAAGATTCAAACAGGACAATAACGAGTAAGCTCATTAGAAAGGCGTGCCTCACAATACGGCTTGTCATTCTCATTTCATATCATTCCAGCTTCCAGCATGGCACCTATGTGCTACATTAACATCTGTATATAGTACAGGGCATGCTGGTATAATTTAGTGGATAAAAAACTCTAAAAACTGAATGATGCATGAAATTTTGCATCTACGTTGGTTTCATTGCTATACTCAGCCTTAACTACTAGTACACAGGATACTCAGAGAACAGTGGCAATATCTTTAGCACAGAAACATGAGACCCGAAGTTCTTGAAAGTGACGGGGAAATAAAATCAATAATTCCAGAAAAATCTCATATTCGTTTACTTTATCAGCTAATATGATAGTTATGTTTCTTTGTTTCTTCGTGTAAATTTTTAATTAATATACCAATAACTTGATAAATGTTTTGCTTTTGTCCATTAATCTTCTGCGGGTTGTTTGAATAGATTTAATTTTTGAGAGACCTCTACAAAAAAAATAGAGGCTTAGTGTCTCTATTGCATGATCTTGCAAGCCAGCGGAATTCACCAATGCGATAAACAGCGGGACCATCAGAAAAATGTGTGTCCCAATTTTTTTCATAACTTATTGAAGGAACATGTCCTTTAAATGCATATTATCTCTTTTAGCAATGAAACGTTCATATTGGGGTGACGCTTGCCGTAAACGTTTTCTCTGTTCCACCATCATATTATTTTTCATGACAAAATGAGAGTGAAGTTCTTCTACAATCTACAATCTCAATGCGCTCTTTTGCCATTTACCGATCAATAATTAAATTCTATGGCCTATTATCGGGTCAAGTTGTTGAAAAATGTGTCACAATACGAATTACGCAGTACCTGTACGGGCATTCTTTATATATATCTTTTACGTTTATTCCTACTTTTTCTAAATATCTATTATTTTTTGAATAGAGTATTTGACATGTAATTATTATATCTCTTGATGTTCGCTGGATCATTCCTATTACAGAAAAATTAACTTGAGTATTTGGGGTAAAAGCTCTTAAATTCATCTCAGAACCTTATTTGAATAACATCCATGTTCTTTTACCGTTCAGTGCCATTAGCTGAGCAGGAACTTACTTCCTTACTACTTACGTCAATGTTATTTTTGGACGAACTTTTTACTCTAGAGATATTGCCATTGCTCTTTGAGCCACCCTGTATGAAACATATAAAACATTTTTTAATAAAATCCTTCAAAAGGTTAACTATTTAAGCAAAAATTTGCAGAAGGTACACTTATTTGCCATTAATTTGTTTTCCTCGAGTAATGTATAGTGATACTGACTCACTGTTATTTGATTTTACTATAAGAGATTCTGTGTCAACTTGCAACTTTTTTTGGTCTAACCAAGATAACATTTTTTTCTTGTGACCCCGAAGACAACGCAGCAACCTGCCCGTGGGGATAATAGGCTTGTTTTTCGGACTAATTCAAACTAAAAGGAGTAGCAGTGAGCACTCCAGTGAGTAGTACATAGTCCTGTTGGTACAACAGTCTCAATCTGTCAGTGTCATCACTTAACATCATCTTCGTCTTATCACCAAGTCCGATGGCAAATAGAGCTTTAACCTATTCTCTGGATGATTGCCGGATACAATAGGGGGCTATTTCAACCCTTCCATTGTATCACCAAATTAGTTGTTCACTTTCTTGGTGGTAGGGAGAGGGATGTCACGCTGACTCACTTTATTTGGAATCGTAGGATGGTCATCATTCTCGTAATCTTGTTATGAAACCGCCCCATAACTGGATGTCATACGTCCAAATTCACTTCATGAAAGCATTGTAAAGTAACATCTTGTTGCCCAAAGATAATTTAGATTTCCTATCCAACACATATTTTCTTCCTTTATGGACACACTTAGACGTTATTTTTAGAATAATGTTATATAGACGTTTCTTTGCTTACTTGTCGTATGGCCTATATTGTATTGATGACTCATAAATGGATGACAAACATGCTCTCTAAATATACATACCTTTAGTACTAATCTTAAAGGTTACTAGCCTTAATTTCCTGGCTTATTTTGCGTCTTCCAGCTTCCAGCATCGCACCTAGGCTACGTGCCAGTCTGAATAACGTCATGTGAGTATGCGACAGTCTTTGTTCGGCATGTGTCGACCGTCGTCTTCATAAAATATGCCTTTAATATTCTCTAATAAGCCTTTAAACTTTCCTCATAATGACGGGCTGCTCATTTTTGCAAGCAGCACGTGTATGTGTCTCTCTGACAAAAGCGACTGGGCATAAAAGCATTTCCGCTGTTTTTTCGGTGCACTGACTCGCGCTCAGATGAGGAAATGAGCAAATGTGGTCGGGGACATGAGAAAATGGAATGAAATATCACAAGTTGGATTATCTGATGGAATAATTTCTCCATCATGCAGACGAACCGTGAGATCAAATTAATGCGAAGCGTATTTCTTGCGAAATATGGCTTACGAAAAATGTATCATTAATATTTTTAGGTTATGAGACTTTCATTCCTTCTTGAAGGATAGACTACGGCTTATGTTGCTTATTATTTATTCAGCAATGTCACGTTATGAGAAAATACAAGGAATCATAAGTAACCTTGAGGAAACTTAGATGAAAAACAAAGGACAATCGTGGACATATCCGTAATAAAGGAACAGGAGCAGAAATAGAAGGATTGGTAACCCGAGCGTCGCGTCATACGTTTCTGCTTGTTGGCTTCATTAGGCCCAAATGGATCTCCATTGAAAACATTGAAGTGAACACATATGCCCATCAGATCTGGGTACGGGTGTAACCTGAAGAAAAACAAGGATGGAAAGGAAAATACCAACAAGAGCCAGCAGGCACATTTATGTTCCTTTATTGCGGACATTCACACGATTGTTCTTAGTTTTTCATCTAAGTCTTTCTTTGTAGTTACTCATGAGCTCGAAGTGCCTCCCTGGCAAGGTACTCTGACCGAAGCCACAAATGTGTCTGCTGGCCCTTGTTGGCGGTTTCTAGTTGTATTCCACTTTCCATCCTTTCCTTTAGGTTATTTCCATATCCAGCTGTGATGGGCATATGTTTTCACTTCGGTGTTTTCTATTTGTGACTGATAAAGCAAACAAGCAGAAACGTACATCCCTCGGGTGACCAATTCTTCTAATCCTGCTCCCGCTCCTTTATTGTGGACATGCCCACAATTGTCCTATAAATAAATAGCGTTTATTGCCCCACAGTTAAGAAAGCACCTACAAGGTAATCCTCATAAAAGATCAATGAAACTAACAAAAATTGAGAACACGCAAAAAGCCGTTGGTTCCATCTAAAGTGAAGAACAAACTAGAAAAAGGAGCAAAAAACATATTTCACTCACGTGAGAAACATGTCATAAATTCTTTAAGTAATTCCCAGCTACTCTCAGAATGCTGTTGAAACTTTTAGCATGTACATATATCACAATAAATACATATGACATTGGAAGTTTCATACATTACATATATGGTTGCTTTCAAAATCAATTTGTGCGAGCTCTGTCATAATAAAAGGTACGATTTTGAATAAATGGGACATTTAAGTTTAGTTGAGCCACAATCTCATTATCGTCAATTTGATTGTGCAGCGGTTCCTTCTCAGCTCTAAAGACTGCATCTGAAACCTAGATAATAACATCGTTCAGATATACCCTGCCCACGATATACACCGTCAACTTTGAAAGATAAAAAAAATTGGGAAACCTTTTCTGAACATGCTCAAGAGAATCAATATAGCAGTTGTATTTCAATCTAATATATGCCGAATACAAAATCAACAATGACTCTGGGCGGCTGAAGCTTCTGCAGTTTCTCACGATAAAACCGTACGGCCGTGAAG